GGGGGGGGGGGGGGGGGGCTCTCTCTCCCAGAAGGTTTGCTGGGGCAGAGAGACAACGGAAGGGCTCTTCAACCCCCAAACGAGCCACAATACCACTTTCAACCATTTAATACTTTTTTATTTTCAAGGATACAAGGTTTTTTTTATCTTTAATTTCAAAACAAAAATAAATGCATAAACAAGAAAAGGTTTTGTTTTGTTTTTCCCCCCAATAAATTGTCCAGACTAAGAAAATACAGAGGACAGGTTTCACTCCATCCAATGGAATAGATGCCAGCACGCAGCCACGACGTTCAATGGATTAAATATTTACAAACTTTTTTTTTTTGCTCGTCCCACTCCCAATTAGATGTTGTTTGGTTTCGTTCAAGTGGTCCTGATGGAAGTGGGGAGATCGCAGGGTGATACACAGCAGAGAAAATATACTGAGAGAGAAATTTATGGGACTGGTTAAAAAAACAAAAAAAGAGGTGGGGGGGCAGTTGTACAAAGATTATACAGAGTTAAGATGGGGGGGGATAAAAAAAAATAGAAGCAACTCTTAGGAAACAGTTACTCATGACACCTACCCCCGCTGGACACGCTCTCGAGCGAGGAGGAGATGCTAACTTTAAAACAAGATAAATCGATCGATACGCGTAGGACTATACGTGTGTCACATACTGGTCGAGGAGTTGAGGGAGGGAGAGAAAAAAAGCTGGCATGGGAATCAAAAGATGATAATGTTGGAGGCCAGGAAGAGTTATCCCCATACGAAGTACAAGTACTGTCTTTTTATTTCTTTCTCTGCAACCCCCCTCCCCCCTCCCATTTATTCTTATTTTCCAGAGCTGGTGCCAGCACCGCCACATCCTTAGAAAGCTGGCAGGGCTCCGAATTCAGATGCCTCCCTCCCGCACAAAGGATAAGGGGAGAGAGACAGCTGGGCCCAGCAGCCATGTTTAATTTGTCGCTGATGCATTGTAGGAAATTCAAATGCAACCCCCCCCCAAGAATGCATTTCCTCAAGGCTACAACCCACAATGGTGGGCTTGGTGAAAAGTATTGTGAGGACTCCCCCCCTCCCCAATAAGTGCCATAGAAGAAATTGTGGGAGGTTTTAGGAGCAATTAGATTGCTGGCGGGGGGGGGGGCAGCCCTGGCTTTGCAATCCCTCCCCATCGCCAGCCACCCTTTTGCAGGGAAGGACGGAAGCAAGACTGGTACCCACGCCCAGGCGCAACCCCTGGGAGGGAAAAAGGAAAAACGAGCCTGCGGCGAGAAAAGCACAAAGAACAGTTTTAAACCGCCAGGAAGGGTCGAAACGTTGGAGAGCAACATCCAGGCGCCCCACAGGATGTAGGTCCCAAGGAGAACCGAATCGCCTCCCGCTTCAGTCCTGAATCTCTAAGGCACCAGGTTGGTGCTGCCTTTCCTGCAACGTAGCAGCGTTAGAATTAAGCCTGACCTCCCCAAACCACCCACCTTCCCCCAATGGGGGGCAGGAAAAACATTGGGGTGCTGTGGGCCAGGGAGGTGGGGGGCTTGCTCCCCCTTCGAACCCAGAAACGCAAGGCAGGGCCTCTTCCTCACCAAGGGGGAGCGGAGCCAAAGGCTGCCCCCTTTGCAAGAATCACCATCGACTGCTCTCCGAAAAGCGTTCGCAAATTGCAAGCCCCCCCAGATGGGAACTCTGGATGGGGGAGTCCCGATGCAGCAGATGGGGAAGCCGGGCAACTTTGTCCCCCCACATCATTCCCCAGCCATCTCCCCCATTGCTTTGACCTATACAACTCGATTCTGCTTCACTGTGTTAACAACACGGGGTCTGGCTTTTCGGGGCGGGGGGGGATCTAGGAATGGCTGGATCCTGCAGCCTTCTTACGCTAACAAGAGTGCGTTTTATTGATAGCTGTTTTTGTATCTGCAGCTTTGCAAAAGAAGCACTAGTTTGGGGGAAAAAAATAATTAAATGGGGTAGCCAGGAAGCCACCCACAAGTCTCCTTCTAAATTGTGGGGCAGCCCTTTCCAGAGATTGAGCTGGACCGGAATCAGCTGGAGCATTTCTGCTAATCCTTGTTCTGTGTTTCTCAACCTTGGCCACTTTAAGATGCGTGGACTTCAACTCCCA